AAAAAATTATAAGGAAAATTAGAAAACATTTTGAGATAGATGGAAATGAAAACACAACACCTCAGGACTACTAAGGTGCACTGAAAGTAGTACTGATAGTTGTATATTATAGGTCTATGTCAAAACGGATGAGCACAAATCAATAACTTAACTTCGCACTTTAAGAAACTATGGAGCACCTGAGTGGATCAGTTGGTTGAGTGTCTGACTCTTGATTTCAGCTTTAGTCATGATCTCAGGAACATGGGATTGAGCCCCACATCCAGCTCCACACTGAGTGTGGAACCTGCTTAAGATTCTCTTTCTTTCCCTCTGCCCATCCCCCCTCACATGCACACACATTCTCTCTCTAAAAAACCATAAAACTATAAAAAACTATAAACTATAAAACTATAAAGCTTAAAACTATAAAACTATAACAAACCTATAAAGAGTAAGCAAAACCCCAAGTTAGAAGAAGGAAGGAAATAAAGACTGGAGTGGAGACAAATGAAATAGAGAATAAAAAAGCAATAGAAAGAACAAAGGACATTTTAAAAAATCCACAAAATTGACAAACCTTTAGTTAGACCCAGAAAGTTTGAAGTCTCAAATTATTAAAACAGAAATAAATGTGGGGACATCAGTACAGATCTTAGAGAAATTAAAAGCATGGTAAGAGAATACCATGAACAATTGTATGCCAACAAATTGGACAACCCAGACAAAATGGACAAACTCACAGAAATACACAAATTATCAAAACTGACCCCAGAAGAAATAGAAAACCTTAACAGACCTACAAAAAGTAAAGAGGTTCAATCAATAATCAACAACAAAATGAAAGGCATCTAGACTGTAAATAAAGAAGTAAAACTATCTGTACATGCAGGTGACACCTTTTTGTATCTAAAAAAAAATATCCTTAGGGGCGCCTGGGTAGCTCAGTCAGTTGAGCGTCTGACTCCGGCTCAGGTCATGATCTCATGGTCCATGAGTTCAAGCCCCATGTTGGGCTCTGTGCTGACAACTCAGAGCCTGGAGCCTGATTCATATTCTGTGTCTCCTTCTCTCTCTGCCCCTTCCCTGCTCATTCTCTGTCTCTCTCTGTCTCTCAAAAATGAATAAACATTAAAAAATTTTTTTAAATATCCTTGGGAATCCATGAAAGAATTAATAGGTGAGTAAACCAGTTCAGCAAGGTTGTAGGACTCAAGGCCAATATACAAAAGTTAGTTCTGTTTCTGTGTATTAGCAACAAACCATCTGAAAGTGAAATTAAGAAAACAATTCCATTTAAAGAAGCATCAAGAAAAATGAATGCATGGCAACAAACTCCACAAGTCTTTTACACCGAAAACTATAAAATTTTGGAAAAAAAATTAAAAAGCTTGAAAAATAGACAGGTAGCCTGTATTTATGGATCGGAAGATTAATGTTGTTAAAACAGCAATACTCAAATTGATCTACACATTCAGTACTATAATAATCAAAATACCAGCTGCCATTTTTGCAAAATTTGAAAGCTGATCTTAAAATTCAAGTGGAAATGCAGGGACCTCAAATACTCAAAAAAAATCTTAAAAAAGAAAAACGAACAAGTTGGAGGACTCACACTTGCCAATTTCAAAACCCACCACAAAGCTACAGTGATCTAAACTGTGATACTGACATAGACAGTTCTATGTATCAATAGAACAGAATTGAGAATCCAGAAGTAAATCCCAACATTGACGGTCAGATGAATTTTTTTAGTGTTTATTTTTGTGAGAAAGAGGGAAAGAGAGAGCACACATGCACACGTAGTGGAGGAAAGGCAAAGAGAGGGAGACAGAGGATCTAAAGTGGGCTCCACACTGTCAGCACAGAGCCTGATGCGGGGCTCAAACGCATGAGCTGTGAGATCATGACCTGAGCCCAAGTCCAATGCTCAACCAACTGAGCCACCCAGATGCCCCAATATCAACTGATATTTGACAAATGTACCAAGAAAACTCATTGGGGGAAACGTCTGTTCAACATACAGTGCTGGAATAACTGAATCCCCACATGCAGAGAATGAAGCTGGATCCCTATATCACACCATATAGAAAAACTAACTCAAAATGAACCAAAGACCTAAATGTAAGAGCAAAAACTAGACAACTCTTAGAAGAAAACAGGTGTCAACTGGTGTGACCTTGGATCAGGCACTGGTTTCTTAGGACACCAAACATACAAGCAACAAAAGAGGGTACATTGTATTTCATCACAATTAAAAAACTTTTGTGCATCAAAGGACACTCTCAACAAAGTGAATGGCAGAAAATATTTGAAAATGTTTTATCTGATAAGGATCTAGTATCCAGAATATGTAAGGAACTCTTACAATGCAACAATAAAAAGATAACAGAATTTAAAAATAAGGCAGAAGACCTGAATAGACATTTCTCCAAAGAAGACATGCACATGACCAACATGTACATAAAAAGATGCTCAACATCATGCATCATCTGGAAAATTCAAAACAAGACCACAATGAGATACCTCCTCATGCCCACTAGTGTGGCTAGAAGCAAAAAACAAATAGATAAAACAAAAATAATGAGCACTGGCAAGGATGTGGAGAAAGACCTTTGCACACTGTTGGTGGGAATGTAAAAGGGGGCAGCCACTGTGGAGAATGGTCCTCCAGGGAGTTAAGCATAAAATTACTTATGACCAAGCAACCCCAAGAGAACTGAAAATATATGTTCACCCATGTAAGAATGTTCTAGCAGCACTGTTGGTAACAGCCAAACACTGGGATCAACCATGATATGCATTAGCTGATAAAAAGATAGATGAAATGTGGGACGCAATCCACATGGTGGAAATGTTACTGACCATAAGAGAATTAAACACTGATGGTACAGCATGGATGGACCTTGGAAACATGGTGCTCGATGGAAAGAGCCAGACTTAAGAGTCTACATGCTGTATGACTCCATTTAAATAAAGTGTCCACAACAGGCAAACCCACAGAGGCAGAAAGTGGATTCGTGAGCCCATGGGGGAGGGTAAACACAGGGTGATGGTGGGTTTAGCATGTCACGGCGTTATGACAATGTTCTAGAACTAGGTGGTGGTGCGGTCGATCACACAGCCTTGTGAATGTACTAAAACCACAGAATTGTATGCTGTACAAGGGTAGACTTTATGGCATTTTACTCAATTACCTGGCACCAGTTCCTGTTCAGCCTCCTATCCCAAGCCTCAACACACCACCAGCTGCCTTCCAGAACTTTCCGGGCACCCTGACGTACACTCACTCCCTGAGCGCCACCCGCCTGATACAGGCTCATCCTCCAGGACCTGATGTCAGGACCCTCCTGCCTGGACCTCAGCCCCACCAAGCAAGCTGTTGTCCCCTCTCTTCCCTACCTCGCCCCCAGACCCTTGGTTCAGAGGCCAGATTTCACAGTGTCTGGACGGGAGGCCTGTGCTTCTCACAGAGCACCAGGGACGGTCTTATGGACAGAGTCTCTCAGCAAAGTCTTAGAAGCTCTGTTACTACTTCGCAGAAAACGAAACTGAGTCACAGGTGGCAGGATCAAATGACCACAAATGGGGGGCCTAGGACAGCAGGTTTTGTTCTTTTCCAGGTCTGGAGGCCAGGAGACAGGTGAAGGTGCCATAGGGCCGCGGAAGGTTCCAGGAGGGTCCCTCCTGCCTCTCCCAGCTGCCAGGGCCCCAGGCATTCTGGGCTCATGGCTATGGCCATATCCCCAATCTCTGCCTCTGTCTCCATGTGGCCATCTCAAATCCCCCTCCCTCATCTCATAAGGACCCACCCTGATCCAGGATGCTCTCACCTCGAGATCCACCTCAACCTTGATCACCTCTGCAAAGATCCCATGTCCACATTAGGCCACGTTCTGAGGTCTGGGGGCACAGGTGAGTTTCAGGGACACACAACACTGAGAAGTTGCCCCAGTCACCCAGCAGAGGTTAGATCTGACCCTATCTACACTCTGATCCCTGCACTGCTTGCCTTGAATAGGGTGTCCAATCTCAGCGTGCAGCCACCCCGTGGGACAGGGCAGTCCCAGTACACACACAGGCCAGCCATGTAATCACTGGCCCACCTCCTCCACCCTCGACGTCCCACTGCTGAGGCAGTAGGGCCAGGGGCACATTTTTCCAGGCTATCTGCAGGGGGGTGTGGCCATCAGAGTGTTTGAAACCACTGAGTTTGTGATAATTTATTGTACAGCAGACAAAAAAGGAATAAAAAAACACCCCTTGCATGTTCTTCCCACCTTGAATATGATGGCCAGAGCTGTGGAAGCCATCTTGTGACCATGAGGCAACAAGCATTAGAAAGATCCTTATCTTGTGTTCAGGAAGGCAGAGAATTAGAGACAGACAAAAACTGTGTCCCCGGGATGTCCCTGTGATAGACTGTTAGAAGTGGTCCCTGATAAGCCAAGCCTCCCTGCGTCCACACCCCTCAACGGTGGGGTCTACTTCTCCCCCACCTTGAAACCAGACTGGCCTTATGCCTGTCTTTCCACCATACAAGGTGACGGAGGTCATACTCTGACCACAGACATTAACGAGCCCTGTAGCTCTGCTATGCCTTGAGGGGAAGGAGCCGGCTCTCCACAGGGAGAAATGGGCCCTGGGGTGAGGCATCATGAGGAAAGAAAGGGATCCCAGACACAGGAGTGAGCCTCGCCAGCATCACAAGGAGAGAGAGGCTTGCTGTCCCAGACAGATGCATCCACTGAAACCACCCCTACTAGGACCTCAGATGCATGGATGAAGCCAGGCTGGATCTTCCTGTCCCAGCAGAAATGAACGGTCTCACTGAGCCCTGCCCGAGTTCCTAACCACAGAACCAACCGTCTCCAAAGTTTGGGGGTACTTCTTACATGGCACCAGATAACTGACTGATACAGGCCCTGACCAAGCTGCAGATCACTGCCCCAGTCCCCACCTATATACTTCCTCCAGGCCTGTTCCTAGGATACAGTCATACATCTGCCTCATCAACTGACCTGTCATGTCCAGGCGGAAGGAGACCTTCTCTCCCCTGGCCTCGCAGCTGTACTCCCCGGTGTCCACCTTCCCCACCTGCTGCACCACCAGCCTCCTGCTGCAGCCCGTGGCCTCCATGTGCACTCTGGAGCTGGCACTCAGTTTCTTCCCATCCTTGTACCACGTCACCTCCGTCTTGTCCTGGGCCACCTCGCAGCTCAGCATGGCGCTGGCCCCCACCTTGGCCTGCACCTCACTGCGTGCCGGCTGCCCCTTGGCAAACACGGCCGAGGGCTCTAAGGACAGGGAGGGACAGGTGGTCAGAGGTCCTAGTTAGGTGAGGTTTCCCAAGACCTGGAGCCAAGGCACAGACACGCTGTAGACTCCAGGCCACCTTGGGAATCCTTCATGTCAGGTGCTGCCAGTGGGACCCTCCTCAGGCACAGGGTGGGGCTTGTGCCCTGACCCCTCTAAGCAGCATGATGGGCACCCTGGCTGGTGCCTGGGGACAGATGGAGGGAGGCATGGGGGGCAGTGGCCAAGACCCTACTAAGAGCCAGGACTCAGGCAAAGCCAGATCCTGAGAATCCACCAAGATGCACCAATAGGTTCTAGAAAGAGCCAGAGCCTCGTTCATCAAGATCCCAATTTAACCTGCCGAAGTGGCTTCCGGCACCTTTTGGGTCTTGCCAGCCTCACTTTTTCATCCTCGAAAAGAGAAAAAGGGCTGCAAATTTCTTATCTTTTATTCTCCATACCCACACTCCTCTCTCATCTAAACGTTAGTTCTGTGGGCACTTTCTTTCCCCAATTCCGGAAGCAACTGCACCCCCACAAGCATTCTTGGAAAAAAGGAAGGGCCGGGCAGCTTGGCCTCACAAGTGCTTGATGCAGCCGGACCTGCTTCCTACCCACCAAGTCCTGGAGGCTGCAGCTCACCACTGACACGCAGCTGGAAGTCCACGGAGTCCTCGCCCACACGGCATGAGTAGGTGCCCTCATCCTGCTTGGTGACCGAGGCTGCCACCAGCCGGTGCCACGTTCCCACGTCCTCCTGCAGGAAGCGCTGGCTGGAGCGGCTGAGCTCCGTGCCATCCTTGTACCAGCGCACACAAACCTGGGCCTCAGAAGTCTCACATTCAAAGTGGGCTGGGCCCCCGGCCACGGCATCCACCAAGCCACCAGCTGTGTCCTTGTGCAGAAAGGGAGTGAGCCCTGCAAGGGCACATGGGCAGGTCAGGGGGCCGGCAGAGCCCTGGCCACACATCCACCCACTCAGACAGCAGATGGAGATGCCCAGAGCTCCAGGGCCTCACTGACCAGGGTCCCATTCAGAGGCAGGACTGGCCTGGGATGCTGACCTCTAACCACTCACGCACCACCTGCTCTTAGGAAGACCCTCCCCACCCTCTCACAGGCTGTCCACCTCTCACACCATAGCGTCACTGGAGCCAGTTTCCCAGACTCCTGCTCCCCAAGATCAGCTAAGTCCCCCACCCTCCCACAAGGACAGAGGACAGGGCCTCCCACTGCCCAGACCCCCTAGAGCCTGCCCAGAGCTGGGAACATAACGTGTGGCCGTGACCATGGTGATGGTGGGCAGGCGAGGACGTGGACACACACACACACAGAGGACATCACCTTGCACCAACAGCTGGTAGGCGATGCGGCCCCCATGGCTGACACACTCGTACAGGCCAGCATCGTCTCGCACCACATCCCGCACCAGCAGTGCCCGCTGTCCAGCACTCGCCTGGACCTCGTATTTGGGGCCCAGGGGCAGCACGTGGCCGTCCTTCAGCCATGTCACCGCCGCAGCCTGGTCTGAGAGCTCTGCCAAGAGCTGTGCCTCCTCATGCAGCCGGGCCAGCACTTCCCTCACAGCTGCCACTGGACGCTTGGCGGCCAGCCCTGGGGCTGTGTGGGGCCACAGAGGTGGACACAGGGGACGTAGACAGAGGGGTGGACGGGGGGGGGGGGGCAAAGGGGAAGGGGGCAGAAGGGGAAGGAGCAGAGGGAGAGTGGGCAGAGGGAGGGGGTGGACAGATGGGGAGGGGACATAGGGGATGGACAAAGGGAGGGGACATTGGGGAGGGGACAGAGGAGGTGGACAGAGGGAGAGGGGGCAGAGGGGAGGGGGCAGAGGGAGGGGGTGGACAGAGGAGGCAGACAGAGGG